ATAATGTTTATATATATATAATAAATGGATGTCAATGTCGGCCTCATATGTCCGACTGAGACAGCAGCAAGTAGAAAATAAGAGAAGCTGGTGAAGTACTGCATGTTACCCCCTCGTGGGATTATCAATATATATCCTATTGTCCTTTACTTTATTCTCTACCATTTTTAGTTTATCACACTTATTATTGATGTATACTCCCCTAACCTTAATTACTTTTTCCTCTCCCCAATTTACTAATGATTAGCCATTCATTAACAATTATGTGTTCATCATGCAAGCACTTCTGTTAGAGTGGATAAAAGTCCCACATTGATTATTGGAGAATGGACTCGTGGTCTCCTTGTATGGATTTGGACAATCCTTCCCTCATGAGCTAACTTTTGTGGTTGAGTTAGACTCATGTGTCATATCTTTACAACTTCAGTTTGTTTCATGACTACTATAAAAGTATCAAAACGATTAGTAATTTTCTATAGTTGGCGGAAGTATCACTACTAAAAAAACTAGCTATGAATTCGATGTACTTAACTGTTTAGCTACAAAATTTATAAATCGTTACATTCAATTATTTTAGTAGTGTATATTGATAATGCATAACTTTATTGCTCCATGTAAGTTAAACACTTTCTTTCTTAGCATAAAATTTGATGTTTCTCCCTTGTTATTACAAGTGCGAGGTGTATTGTAGCTTCAAAATCAAATGAATGATGGTAGTTCCATTGTTTGTTTTTGTATTTTGGTCAAGTTATTTTCACTTAGAATGAGAGTGGCCAATTCCAAGTTCACGTTTATTTGTCTCATCTTTTGCACTTCATCTTGATATATATATATATATATATATATATATATATTATGTGGCAACGTAGAATGTAGGGGACCTAAATATGAAGTTCTTATTGTTCTCAATAATCCAAAAATTTATAACATGCATGCAAACGACCTATTAAGGACTTTTACCTTTCCTAGATTTGTCATTTTTGAAAGAAAAGAGACCTATAAATATACACATGATCATAAGTCAACATTACTCTCTTAATATTCACGACATCACTGGGATTACAATTCTTCTTTGCTTAGCTGTTCCATTCATATCATCCAAATTAGATTCCCTTAGAGAAAGCAAAGTAGAAATCTCCGTATTCACAAGTAATGCGTTTTGATGATTGACAAAATGATCTGGCTAAATAGATGGCTCGAACCAAATGCATCAATAAGAAACAAGTAGACTATATATGTTAAATGAATCAGATAAGCAATTTCATGTTTTTTTCCAAAATACAACCTAGAGCGGTGAAATTTATTCTCACAAGTTCTAAGATGATACCATGTTCAAATTTGTGATCGTACTCTAAAACCTTAACTTTTTGATTAAATACAAAAGTAATTCTCGATGTTGGGAAAAAAATGTAATTTTCAGTTGTATATTTGTGTAAAGCCATTATTCACTCTCTTCAGTATTTCTGGGCTCAAAACATTCTTTACGTAATAAATATATAAGTTAGGTAGTAGTACTAGTAGATTGCATGTGTTACCATTGCTCACTATAGTCAATGAACTTTAAAACAATAAAAAAAGGACTAAACAAAAGTCTAAGCAAACGGCTGCGAACTTGGAAGAAACAAACGATAAATATTTATTTTTAGAATATGGTTTTTAAAAATATTAACGAGGCACATATTATATATATCGTACCAATAACATGAAACCCACTATTCTTGCAAAGAGAAAAATCGAACGAAGCAACGCTTAAAAAGTAGTCGATCCACTTTATTTTTAATTAGTAATAAATTAATTCATACTACTAATTAATGTTAGGTTAATCATGTTGATCTGATGCCTTATACTTTAGTAGCTAGTAGTATTATTTATTGATTTAAAAACATATCTGGATGATAGTAATTAATACTAGTATATAAATAGGACTTGTAGCATGTGTTAGATACCTGAAAACCCACCTAATCACATGCTCCACACCTTAATCAAGAATGAAGTTTCATAAGAAGTTTCTCTATCCTTAATTAATCTGGTAATAAGGGTTTAGAGTTTTGAATGGTTACATGTAATCTGATATCTCTCGCTTTAATTATTAATTTGGAAGTAATACAACTTTAAACATTGTATATATCAGAAGTTAAGTGCCAAATTACATAATTTTCAGGTAGCAATACTTCGAGGAATTATTTGCATATGTTTCTTTAACGTAATAGAGACGTACAATAATTTTGGGCCAAAGGCCATCCTCAATAATCCAAATTTTCTAGTAAATGAAAGGAAGAAGCTCATCTTAGCTAGGTCACAGTTAATGGTAGTAACCAACATCGGTTGTGGTGCACTGGTGGGAGTGTTTCACACTTAACCAGAGGTCTTGGGTTCGAGCCCTGGGTATGGAGAAAATCTTGTTGGGGGAGTCGCTCCCGAATGGGTCCCGCAGAGCACGTTCCGGATTTAGTCGGAGCTCCAATGTGGGCTCCCATCACTAGGTGGTAAACAAAAAAAAATGTAATCATATATGGGATCAAATACAATTTTACTGTCACTTATTATCAAAAATAATTTTCACGTGTTTAGATATGAAAAGAGTCAGACCCGCATGTGAGGAGACTTGTTAAAAATATTACTTACTAAATAAAAAAAATATGTTCTTGCTGATAACTTAAGTTTTAGATGAGAGAGTCAAATAATTTAACGATTATATATAAAAAAACCATATATACATGTGATACTCAAGCTATTTTTATTTCTCTTTCGGTGATTGGAACTAATTATAAGCTTTCATGATCCTTGGAGTAAAACAGATTGGATATCGATATCCCTATAATTGCATGCACTCTCCCATTTCAAGCCTGTTAAGTTTGATTAATATAATAATTGTTCCGCTGTAATTTATGTAAAACAAACTTTATAAACTCTAGCCCTTATTCAATACGTACGTGAATACCCTACACGAATTCTTGTAAATCTTTTATTAGAAAATTAAAATCTATTATTAATATTATGTCAGGTTAGTTCTCCGATATCGGTCTATTAATAACAGTCTCTTTGTCCGAAAAAAATTAAAAATAACGACAACGTACATCTCACCATTTGTGAATCTCACTTGTAAAATTAACTAGATATGTTGTGACCTGTGGTTATTAGTTCTCCCCACAACAATTCTAAAGTAGCAAGTCCTAACCAATCTATTTTATTAGTGAATCAAACAACTTTTTTCTTAAATTAGTGTTCGAATGATAGTAGAAATAATATAGCTTTGTTGTTGGCGTTCATAATGAAAATCATAGTTCTCCATCTCTATAGTGTTGGCATGTGATCTGGACGAATTGAAGGATAAAATTAGTGTTGGATTTAAAATCTTAACACTTCATTAGGATTTTAAAAAAATAAAATATTCATATTAATTTTTTTATTTAAAATACTATATATCACAATTTCTTATAATTGAAAATATTAAAAAGATATTTCAAATACCAGAAGTCCAGAATCAAGGAAAAACCATTTGACTTCTAAATGGTAATGGCATCACATATTATAGGATATTATTAAATTAAATGCAGAAGAAACAAAGAAAAAATGACAATTATAATTAAATTAATAATTATGAGGAATGCGGTTCAAGTTATCCATAGAAAAAGAGAACTATATTATTGAAGATAATAATATAATAATAATATAGAGATGCGAATCATTGAATAGTCCACCAACAAATGCTTTAATTTTGTAAGCTAAATATTAAAAAAAAATGCTTCTATTATAATTTAGTAAATAGAATAATAATATATAATGCATAATTCAAAACCCAAATTGATGCATTGTGTACCCCATTCTTCACACAAAACAGTGTGCTTCATTTTGACATTATAAAAAATAAAAAATAAAGTTAGTGTTTGTAGTAATCTTAAATTTTTATTATGGATATTATAGATTATGTCATGCCAGCTGTGCGTGTCTCTATCTCATTGAACATCAACAAAATTCATGAGACCACTTAAGTATTTCATGTACAAAAAGTATAATTGTTTAATCATGAGTTAGCATCTTTTTTATTGTGTTACGATTCTCAGCTTTAATTTACAGCTCCTAATGACAAATTTGGTCACGTTAAAATATATGTTGATGACTAAAAACAAATACAAGTTGTCATCAATAATGTTATTGGTGTACAGAACGTTGTTGAATCATAACAACATCATAGTATTATGGTGTGATTATTGAGTATCAAAGATTGAGCATAATTGTAATCAGAGATTTTATATTATATTAGTACTATTTTTTATTCCAAACAAGAATATGGAATGTCAATTATTATATAATACGATTTGATGTGATTTAGATGATTATCATTGGGCCAATCTTGAAAGTGGCCCATCCATGATACTGCTACTGAGTGCGGCCAGTTGCAGTGCCAGATTTCATAAATAACCACAAATTTCGTTGAGAAAATAGCCCTCTTCTCATTTAATTTCTATTTATTCGCCGCGTAGAATATCATTAAGTCTTTTTGATGTTAGAGGTGGCAAATGAACAGACTGTGTGTGTTGAATTTTCATGGGTCAAAATGATCGAATTAATAGAAACGTAGGTTATCGATCTATTTAAAAGTTACTTGGGTTGAAATGAGTTGAAAGGAGAGTCCAAATCAAATCCTTCCAATTCTTACCATCTTTTAATTGCTTTATCTTCTATAAAAAAAAAGAGAGTATATTTTTCTATATTATGATTATATCTAACACATCAATTAAAATCATATTTATTTATAAATATTTTGATAATATTTCTTATGAACTAATTTGGGCTAAATACTAGCTAAAATTTTGATCGGTTAAAATAATAATTGACAGGTTTATAATCTATCCAAAATTGGGCGAGTTGGACATGTTATGATTTCTTGGCTAATTTTGTCGACTCTTTAATCGTTTAATATGTTGTAGATTAGTATATCATGAAAACACCATGAATGAATTATGACTTAATATCATAAAGAATAAAATTGCATTAGTAGATCATTTACCACAAGAATAAAGGATAAAACAGACATTTTTCTGTTCATTTATATTTTCTCTCTTCAAAGGTACAAAACGCATCTTTGAAAATTTGTTGCTCATATAATACACAATAACTCCATGAACATCAAGAAGTAACTATGCCCATCAATTTTTCCTATAGATTAAAATTAAAAGTAAAGGAAGTTGCTTATTTTTTAAAGATTATTAATTTTCCTGGTCATGATCGAGTGCAGCTGCCTGGGGTAGATCCCTTCTGTAACAAATCAAAAATTGACATCAATCACATATTTACTTTAATATGACATATCCACTATATATACTCTTCATAATTTTCTACTATGATTTTTTTTTTTTTGAAATCTTAACGAGAAAAGAGTGTTTTCCTACGCGATTATACTGAATTTTGTTATTTTCGTAAGCATAGTTATATAGTATATGAAAAATTAATCACAATTAATTTAGCGTCTACTCACCGCACAAGAATGTACATCACCACAATTGCATAACAGCTGCCCATTGAGGGTATCTGTTGCTAAAAATGCACCTCCTCCTTCACTTCTCTAAATCATTCATTAAAAAAAAAAAAATTAGTTCATGGGCTTTGAAATTACAAATTAAATGTAGTTTTAAAAAAATGTAGTGTACCTTGTAAAAATCAACAGCGATAAAATTAGCCCATCGATTAGCAGCAGCATCGTGACAAGTCATAAGCATGTCAAGGAGGTGCCCTGAGTTTTGAACACAAGCTAATGGCTTCAATGGAAGTGTCCTAAAGTAATTTACCAACACCAATGATTTACTTTTATCATTCATAGCTGATGACTCTGCGCGATTAGGGCAATTTCCTTTTTCCATTCCTCCATCCCCATCTGCACATTCCACAATAGTTGTGTCGAGAATTTTTAACATATTATTTGTGTACACTCACAGTTTGAGGGGTAAAATCGACTCATTTTTTCGTGAGGCACTTACATTGATTTTCGACCATGTAATTCCATTGGTAAGCAATCCCTTCACTCTGTTCTTTAGATTTGACGGAAGTAAAAACAATTAGTCTTTGGTTATTAGTTACCATGTCACTCACAAGTGGCCAGTCTTGACCACCTTTAGGCATTTTTGCCACAGGAAACCAATATTTCATTAGTCCTGCATCTGTAAACACTTTGGTCAAACCATTTGGAGTCTCTACATAATCTTCCAATATCAATGTCACAATTTCTGATGGATTTGCTGATAAAAACCCTTCAATTTCCTTCAATGTGTCAATTGCTGGTTCCTACTAGGCCAAATTTCGAGACATATAAATTTAATCGATTGATGTAAATATGACTAATAAAATAAAATAGAACTTACAAATGCCGTATAGTCATGACATTGGCCTCCGAATGAGTGACACAACCATATAGCCCCGTCGAAATCATAAGTATCAAGCATTAAACCCCGAACACCATTCTGAAACATTAACACGTTAAAAGGCATAATTAAGTAAATAAAAGTTAAAACGAGCATTTAAAGCAGCTAAAAAGAATATTTAATTCAATCAATTTTGAGTTAATTAGATGAAATGACATACATTGAGCTGTTGAGTAATATTATCTTCTTGATTGGTGGGAGTTACTCTAGGTATCCCAGTATGTGATGGCTCTCCCTCAATTGCAAAAGCATTATGGGTCGTCAGAAATGCATACTTGTTGAATGGCAAAGAACTATTCTGTAAGCCCACACAAATAAAACATAAGCCCAAATATAATTCACTAGCCCAGTGCCAATAAAAGCCCAATTATACATACGTACCACTAACTTAAACGGATCAGTGCCAGTTGATCTAACACATCTGTGGCCTTGAAAGGATAGGGTACAAGATAAACAATAAAGCCCAGGCCCACAATCTGCGTCTGATGAGCATTTATCATCGAGCTGAATAAAATTAAATTTTGAATTCGTAAATGAATTAATTTGAATCAGAAGTTGAAAAAAAAATAAAATGAAACAGAAGCAGCGGCCTATGAGTACGATCGACCACACTCGCTCTTCAATTGAAGTTTGAACACATACACAAATGCATATAGATAAAATTAATCAATGTTTTTAATCATACCGACTCTAAATCTTGAATTTATAACATGAGAAATCGTACCTTGCATGTTCCATTAGAGCAATCGGCGGCGGCAACAACGAAGAGTACGGAGAAAATGAGAAATAAAGAAGAAATGTTTTGCTGAGGACCCATAATTATGGAGAAGAAAACAGAGGAGAGTGGTGAGAAAGACTTTTTTATTATTAGAAGAAAAAAAAAGGGTATATAAAGAAAACTAAAAAATCTGTAAGTTTGTTTTGAGAATTGGCTGAGATAACAAAGCCATAATTGTGGAGAAAGAAACTGACAGAAGAAAAAGCATAGGGATATACTCTCTTCTATATTATGATGGTGAAATGTGATAATGAAAATGAGAGACTTTTCATGCTGTTTATGTAACGCCACAGAGATTTTAATTAATTACTTTTGAGTTTTGGGTTGAAAAAATTTTGGGAAAATAATCTCCAAAGATTTATTAAGGTTGACCAAAACAAAAATAATAAATGATTAATGCACTGAAGGATCATCTTTCCAAAACTCCTAACGTAAGTTAATAAATGATACTCACGCCTTCCACTTTTAATTATCATGTTACATTTTTCGAAAATTAATTTGACTAATTTTTAAAGTTAAATTAGATTATATTAATTCGATATTTTAATCAAAAAAATTCTATATTCAAAAACTATTCAAAAGTATTATAAATTACAATTTTTTGCATATCAATATGATGAAAAATACATCGTAAAATGTTAGTCAAAATTCTTATAGTTTGACTCTAAAAAGGACATCATGACAATTAAAAGTGGACTGAGGGAGTAGATAAACAGGCATATTAGTTTTAGATTAATTTAATATTTAAAATTTTAAATTTAAATATTATATGAAAAATTCTATAAATTACAATTATTCTCAATTTTAATATGGTTAAAAATACATGTTAAAATGTCGGTCAAAATTGATGCAAACATGACAAGTAATTTGAAAAGAAGGAAATAGTGATTAGTATGACCGCCGTGACTGTAGGCTCGTTTGTTCAGCAACTCATCCTAACTTATTAGTTTTAATAATAGTAATATTTAATTTAAGATGATGAGGAAGAGGAACCTTATTAACAATTAAGTACATTAAAATTGGTCACTTTCATCTGTGCTTTCAACTGGTAGCAATATTAATTGCCTTCTCAATTTATTTAGTCTGGTTGAGAAAAGAAATATTTAACGTCAGACTAAATTATTTTTTATTTAAGATGCAATGATAAATACATTTCTCTGGCATGAAATCAATTGAGGAAAATAATAGGGAGAGACTTGGGACAAATCCATTAGTGATACAAATTATTGGTTAAGCATAAAATTCTTACTAATTACAGGTAGAATAAATAAATTGAAGACCGCTAATTTTAGAAATCCATATTTTTGGCACTACTCATTGTTCAAGGAGAAAAAATATATTCACACAGAGTGTTTATATTAATCCAATGAATCAATCTATAATGTGCTCTATTTACATACACTCTTATAATTTAATTATGATTAATTAAAAATAAAATTTTTATCTTAATCCATCATGAACCTATGAAAATGTAATTTAATGTGAACACATCATACCTATTATTATTTTTTCCTCGTTCAAAGTCTTGCCTACTAACAATGAATGTATCACATATTAATTAGTTGTTGAAAATATGTATACATGCATAGTACATTAAAACTTAAAAGAGTAATTTGGACCGCCCATTCATTCATTTTGGACTTTTCTTTTATCCTTGTTTTCATTTTACCAAATTTTAATAGTGACAGCTCATATTTTAGCTTAATAAATTAAATTTTGTGATAGCAGTTCAAACTTCAATCAATGATAGCAAAGTAGACTCTTCAAATCCCCCCATCCCCCTACCC